CACGTGCTGCTTGCTTCTGGCTGGTGTTGCTTGCTCCCAAACGTCTGTACCAAACGTCTGAGCAGGACAGGGATATCTGGAAATGTGTTCCTTCTTTCATTCCAGTACTTGAGTTTGGACTCCCCCAACACTTTGCTTTCTGCTTCATTCTCCAGTTCATCATCAGGGCTTCAGCCTTTCCTATGTACATGTAAACTTCTCAACAGGTGTGTATGTGTGGTGTGTATGTACCCACGTAAGTTGGGCTGGGAGAGGTACAAGAAGCCTTTTCCTTTAAGATCTGACTCCTGAGCCCTTACTGTCCTGATTATTGTAGGTGGATTAGTAGAGGTAACGGTGCACATAAAACAAGTGGGCAGGTTTATTTACCTGTGTAGACACAATGGTGAGTGGTTATCTTTCATTTGATCTGTAGTCTTTATTGGCATCTAGAACTCCTGCAGTTCCTTAGAGCATCATCTTTGTAAATCCTGCCTGCTGAGAGCTAGGTGAGGAAAAATTGGATGTTCAGGGAGCAAAAACCAGGACATTTATTAGTGTTGAAATAAAAAAGCTTTTGGTGTTTGGTTTTTTTTTTTTTTCTTTTGTGCTATAAACCTATATATTTTCATTTAGTGTTTCTCAGTTTGAAGATACCAAGCTGTGGCATTTTTATATCAATTACTGCGTTTCTTTCAGAGCATTTTCCTTCCCTTACTGCAATTCTTACACTCCATTGCTTATTTCAGCTGCTGAGGCTGTCTTCTAAAGTGTAAGCTATTAATTCCCCTTTATTATCATAGATTCAGTAAATCTTTTAATGTACTGCAAACCAGTGCAGTACTGCACAAGCAGTTTTCTGTGGATTGTATGTAATGCTGCAGTATTTCCAATGAATTCAATTGCCCAGTTTGCACTGTGAAGTCTTCCTCCTGTTTTCTTCTATTTCTTGTACAGAAAAACATGACTTTAAGTCAATCTAAATAGTTTGGCAGAGGAACTCCTGGGGAAAGGTCTGAGTAGTCTAAATAGGTGAGATAGCATTATCCAGATAGAGTGAATTAGATGATATGGTAGAGATACCTTGAAGCTCTGTCTGCACAGGGGATGTTTGTGATGCTCTCTGCTTTTATTATCCATGCTTTATTTATTTATTCACTTGTTGTCTGACCTTGGGGAATGTGGCTCTGCAGCCCAGACTTGGTTGGTTGCTAGGTGTGATGTGGCGCTTGTTAATAAGAATGTATTTTAGGACTTCTGCAAGTGAAAGATGCATAGTTTGCCCCTGGGAGTGCTTTGTGTCTCCAGCTGCTGAGTTTAGTTACGCAGTCATTTGTGCCATTGTTTTAAAGTGTTTATTTTGGGGTTTTATTTGTATGCGTTATTTTCATGATGTGGCAACTGCTGGGAAAGATGCCAGCTTATATAGCGCGGGAGGGGACTTGTTGTACTGTGATTGCACATGACTTAGATTGTAGGAGAGCACCGCAGCCGCTCCCATCCAGCAGAGCATAAGCTCAGACACCAAGTGCTCCATTTGCTTCTGGGCTTTGCTCAGCCTCCTAAAACAAGAACAAGGAGCGAAAAATAGGTGCTGAAGAAATTTCAGGCCCCTGAAAACACAGTGGGAAAGATGAGCATTGTGCTGCTGAGAGTGATCCATGCATGAATTACCTAGCACGTTTTCTGCTCTTCAAAAGTCTTTAAAAGAGTGGTGGTGATGTGTGCCTTGTAAATGGGAGCATCTTGTTTGTCTTTCTAATTTACAAATACAGTTAAAATTTTTGACAAAAATATTCTGGGTTTTCTTGGCTCTGGAAGTCAGTGCTGTTAGTTTGATTTGACCTCAGGTGGCCTTTAGGGTGGTGTCTTAAGTGTTGCATATTTAATGGCAATGATACACTTGCTTGTAGCGTTAGTCAAACTATCCGTTTTCCATCACTTCCTCTGAAGTTGTATCATTTTAGTATGATTTACCACTTGGACATGCTTGGTAAATTACTGCGCTAATCCTGAGGCATGGGTTTAGCAAGCTGAAGTAGGTGTACAATATTAAGCAGAAGCAAGTACTCGTATACTGACCAGCCATGATACCACTTAGCTCTCTGGTAAGTGATCTTTTTCTCTCTGGATTCATGATATGAATGGCTGCTCTAACATGTATGCTTGTTAGGAAAAGTTTTAATTCATTAAGTCTATCTGTAGAGCGCACAGATCAATTTGAAAATAACAAATAGGATATCATAGGTTTTACTAGCTCATAATGTGTTTCTGTTGCTAAATCACTTTTTATTAGGGGCATAGTAATTCCAAACATCAAGGTGGACAAAGGACACAAATTATTTTGGGCATTTGCTTTCCAGTTTGCCGGCTACAACTCTGACTTGCTTATTTCTTCTGGCTATACGAGGGATTTTTGGAAGTACTAGAGGTCGGTGGTGAGTTTGCAAAGGTGTGGCCAAGTGTTTGTTCTACTAATAGCTGCTGCAGAGCAAGCAGGGTCCTGTATCCCGAAGTTGTGTCAGTTTTGAAGTGGAAACAGAGCTAGAAGAGTGTTCAGTCGTTGAGGTGCAGAGCTGGTTGGTGTGTGTAGATAGGATGGGAAGGTGATGGTGACTGAGAGGGAACAGAGTGTAGATAAGCTAGAGCGACCTCTTTCACTGTGTCTAACCTTAAAAACTTGAGTTTGGCAGCGGTCTTACTGTTTTCTGTTTGCCTTAATGTGACAGCATGCTTCAGTCTATCCTTGCACGGTGGAGCATATGGGCATCTGCAGTTGTCTGGTTCCCTGTACTTCCTCCTGTTTAATGGCTTGTTCCTGCTGTCTGACTTCCATGAGTAGTTTCATGGGGGGTGGCTACCAGGCTGCTTGTCAGGTTAAAGAGGGTAGACTTATGCCCAGACTCAGTTTTGAGTAGAGTTTGCAAGATGTGCTCTCTAAAATCATCATACAAACACAACTCCCGGTTTTCAGCTCTTACCTATTTTGTGATGCTGATGTAAATTGGTTAAGAGAAGACATGGAGAATTTCTAAGATTCTAGCTTTATTTCAAAGCATGTGTTGCTTACCTTACATTATTCATGTGACGAGAATAGTGCTGTGCATAGAAGTGCAGTATTTCAAAGCACGTCTGTGAAACAAGATTTGTCACTAGGTTATGGTTAGTTTTGATCTGCTGTGATACTGCCTCCAAAAGAGGAGCTGTCGCTCTTGTCCTATCATGTGTCTTTGAATGCTAAGCAATGTAGAGAGATTTTCTTCCATTTCTTACCCAACAAATGTTGATGCTCTGCAACAGAAGTCTGATTTACTAAACAGTTTGGAAATATTTTCTTTACTTTCTTACCCAGTGAATGTTGGTACTCTGCAGCAGTAGTCTAACTTACTCTTTGTCTTATGGTGTTTCAGTTGGACAAGGAAACACATCTCCCGTGTTTCAATGACTCATTGCAAGTACTCATCAAAAACTACATTGGAACTAGCGTGGCCTGAGTACTTAAGTTTCTGTTAATCAGTGGTGCATTTAAAAAAATAGATTTTTCTTATAAAAAAACCCAGGGTGGGTTAATATTTCTGTGCTAATAACAGTCAATATGAAAATGGCAGTTTGGACACTGGAATGTTGTAACTTAAAAAGTGGGAGGTGTTGCTTTCCTCTGCAGAGCTGAGGGGAGCAATGTTTACTGCGTTTTATAGTTCAAGAAGTTTTACTTCTTGATATGGCAAAGTGATGGAATTGGAGCTGCTTCTTATTCTGCTACAGGATCAACCGAACTGAAACATTCTTCTAGAAAGTCCACATTTCCAGTATTGGTTGTTTTCATTAAGGTTGTCTGTTAGTGCGGAATGGGACTTTAGTGGACCATAACATTTTGAAATAGACTTAGCTACTGTAAAAGGTGCTGATGTTTTCTTCCTAGTAAATGCATTCGTTCTCTTCTCATACGAAAGCTTTTCCAGTTTTGTTCCCGCAGTTCAACTAGGCAATTTTTCTGAATAGTCTTCTTCAGAAAAGTTACAAAATCTCCTCTTCTGAATCTATTGTGTTGTAGGAGTCCAGTAAAGGAGGAAGAAACTCTAAAAGATGCAGTCCTTATTATCACTGGCTTTTTTTTTTTTATTGTTTATCTGGTTTTTAAGATAACTTTGTCCCAGAGGCCATGCTATTTTGGGCCACGGCAAGGAAGGCATGGAGTGAAGGCTGGTGGCAGTGTGGGGTGTACTCTTCCTGGTGGAAGGGGCTGCCCTGCGAGCCTGTGCAAACCGATGAGATGACTTCAGTTCTGACCTGTCACAGTGCGTGGTGACACACGTGGTGTGCGTGGTGACACACGTGTTGTGAGTGGCGCCCGGTTCTGTCTCTGCTACCCTTGGTGCACAGCGGTGTAGTTGCAGAGTGGTAACTGCGTTAGGAGCAGCCTTCAGTTTGCTTGTAAGCTCTTCTTGGGAAAACATACTTGTAGATAAACCCTAACATAGTACACAGAATTTTATTTACAAAGGGGAATTTTCTTTTTGATTTAAAAAAAAAAAACAAACCAGCTCATGGCTTTTCCGTGCCCTATACACTACCCTGAAATGAAAAAATGCCAATCAAATTCTGTTTCGATGCATTTAGATTCATTGTACAAAAACGATTTCCATTGACTGCATCAGTTGTTCAACTTGTGATGGACAGATTGGTGCAGTTTTGAGATGTAGATAGGCTCCTCCATGGAGATGTTTTGGTCTGCTGCTTTAAAGGAATGCTTAAATTTGTACAAAATCTCTTACAGTGACAG